AAAACAACCTTTGGGCTGTGAATTTTTAAGCTACTCTGACACAGCGAATGATGTTTACAGGATTTAAGGTTTTGTTTTGGGGTTTTTTTCAGAAGAGAGTCCAAGGTAGAACAAAGCAAAGAATGTCATGGGGAGAAGAGGAGAAAAAGGTAAAGTAATGAAACAAACAAGTGCTGCTCTTGGGCGAAAGTATCACAGAGTAGTGACCAGTTCCTAGACTTCAACTACGGAAGAATTTATGTACACAATCACAGAAAAAATTTCAAATCTTTTAAACAGATTACAATTAGGGAAGGATACAGTGAATACACTTCAGTATTAACAGATCTCTACCGAATGCAAGAGCTTGAAATAGTTACACAACACAAGATTCAAAAGCACGTGGGTTTAGCCCTAGGGACTATACCCAGGACTATAATATTCTACAGCCTGTTCAGAATACAGTTTATAGCTGCATTGTCTTTCCTTTTGTGTGTGTGTGTTCTTGGAAATTTAGTTGAAGCATTTAATAAGCTCACACAGGGCACGGACTGAGGCTACTGTCTGCTATTCTGTACACAGAACGAACTGCTAGCTGCTGTATGAAGTCCTAACGCAAAGGGACAGTTCAAGCACAGCGCACAGCACTCCTTCCTAACTGCCTCTTCACCCACTGAAGCAGTAATCCCATGACCTCTCTACACTGAAGAATTTTCTACCCAGGCTATGGAATCAGAATCACAAACCTCCTCTTCTCACCCAGAGGTGCATTCTGTACCTGCAGAAGAGTGAAACAGCACACCAAACGGAACCACCTCCCTGAGGACTTCGGGGGTGGTGGATGGTTCATGCCACTGGCCCAAATAGCAATGCTGGAGCTGTTTCTCAGAGGTCATTTCACATTTTTAGGTCAGATTCAAACCAGACATTTTCCACCTGGCTGTGACCTCACTTCACTTTCCTGTGCACATCGTACCACCCAGTTCAAAGCACACCCAGTGCATTTTCAAGGCTCTCAAAGGTGTCACCTTCTTACAAAAAAGGTGTTTTATTTGCCTGGGTAGCAGGGCCCTCTGAAGTGCCTCCACAAGCATGCAATGACTGGCTAAGGCCACAAGATTTCCTCGCATTAAACAAAGCAACAATAAATAAGCTTGAGTGAGATTTCAGGGGATCTCTGCATACAATGGACCATTTATATGACACAAACATTGGCAGAAAACCACTTTGGAGCTACAGTATTGTTCCTAGGCAGATTGCACAATATTTCATGAATTGCCATTTGTCAGTTTGTTTTTACATGGTACAACATGGCGAAAAGGACTGACGGGGTAAGAAACTGCAGTAACTTTGTGTTAGCCTGCCTCCATTTGCCTAATCTCCAGTACAGTAGAACCTGCTACTGTACTAATTTTATAAAACTGGCAATTAAATAGTTTTCCACCCTTTTTGAGAGCTGCATTTTCCTGAGAGTTGCATGCAAGGCAGCGTTATCAAACTGTGTAACAGCACACTTCTATTTCAAACAGTAACGCAGCAGCAACGATAGAATGGACTGCAACACTGAACCATTTGTCTCACTTTACACTGACAATATCCACAGACAGTTAAAACTCAGTGCTGTTTTCTCCACCCTCCTCTTTCTGGATGAGTAGATGCCTTTCTTACATGTGTTTGTGGTTACTGCATCTCAAGAGGTGGTTTGTTCTAGGCTCTTGAGGGATAGAAATGAGCACAAGTAACCAACATGCATCACTTACAGATGATACAATCGTGGATGCAGGCACATGCAGAACAGTTTGATTTGTCACAGCAATTGTCAACTGATACTTAAAAAAAAGCCAGTAAAATTAACCAACACAAGGGAAAGCACAGATGAGAATCAAACTATTCTATACTTCTCAGTCTCTTTGGTTTTTTTGTTTATAATAGCTATTGTGTTTAAGGTAAAACAAACAAACAAGCAACCAAAAAAACCCTCATTCAAACTAGAATACTTTAGACTGCTCTTCATGTAAAGCTGGCATGGAACCTGGCCCTGAGCAGCTGAAACATCACAGCCATGTGCAGGGCGCAGGGAGTTAACGGTCATACCTTCAAGTAATTGGTTGCTTAGCTACAGACATTTACATCTGCGTTGCTGGGGGCCTATTGCTCAGCTAGAATCAAGCTGATTTTTAAATACAAAATCAATGCATTCACTAATTATTTCTGAGGCTGTTCTCACACTGAACAGATATAAAAATACACAAAGAAAACCCTGAAGGGATGGGGAAGAAAAGCAAGAATTTGATTTGTATAGACATTTCCTTCTCTATCCCCCATTCTTTGGGTGGACAAGATTTTTCAGAAATCTCACCTACCAATTATACTGATGTAAATTCAGAAATACTTATTTCAAGCACTGACAATGAGAATCTAGGTCTATGTTAAATCCTCTGAATTTCTACTAGTGTCTGAGATCATTCAGCCATTAGTTTTTTCACATTTATTTTCTAGTCATGACTACACTGTAATACAGTGCTGCTGTAAGTATTACTTCAAGATGCCTCAGAATAAATGGTCAGAGCTACGACACAACTATACAAAGCACCTGTATCTTAATTCTGAAAGACCACAACATTTTATTCATACCTAAACCAGTGGCTAGATTTAGAGAATATTTTCTTGATTTGTTGGCAGCGGTTGTACACTAAATCAAAGACCACCTAGTTCAGAGACTGCAGATTTCTGAAGTACAAAGAGAATACAGCACAAAGAGAATCAACACTCCACAGCTGACGGGATGGATATTTGACAGCTGTCACTCACCAGGTTAATACAAGTGGACAGACTGATGAAATTCAAAACAACATCACAAAAATAAGTGGGAAAGCACAAATACAAGTTAGGTAAGTGACAGTTTGCCTGTTTTCTAATTAGTTCATCTGTAAGGCATTTCACTTGGACACAGCAGGGAAACAGAAGTAGGATACAAGGAAAACCAAAGACTGAAGTAGGGGCATGATTGTTCCCACGATGCAACAAAGCTACTGAAAAAGTCTTTACATAACCATTACAGCCTATTTACCTTCCACAGTTGTTTGCTGTTACAGGGTTTACAGCTGTAGCTGTACCACGCTGCAGTAGCATGTTATGTGTGTCTATCTCCGTATCTGCAAGTGTCTATCTCCAATATTCAAGTCTTAGTGGCTAAGACTCCAAATCAAGCATAAGATAAAACTAAATTTTAGTCACAGAACTTTTTAAAATCCTACTAAAATATGTATTAAAAAAAATGACTACAAAAGCCTTTTACTGAGACAATTATCAATGGTGTAATCAAACCTTAAAGTTGCACAGAAAGGCCAAGTTCTACACTCACATGTATGCAACCCCCTACAACTCCCTTCAATCTATTGCAGAGCCAGAGTTGCATATATGTAAGGAAAATTTCACTTTTTCATTATGGAAGCTCTCTCTTAAGTCTATCATTGCAATACCTTACCCTTCTTTGCCAATCTCTCCAACTTTAAGCGCTTCACCAAGCGGTTCTTTTCCAAGTTTGGTCAAGTTCATCTTGGTCTCTAGTGTCATTAGAAAAGATCCATTGTAGGACATTTCCAAATCAATCCAAAGTCCTAAAAATTAACAACAACAACAGAAAGATGTCACTTTAAGAACAGTCACAATCACTGTGTTTTGGTGCCAAGCCAAAACCCATTTAAGAAAAGTCTATATATCGCACTTTTTCCTAAGAGAAAAACTACTTTTTTGTCAACCAATTATGTCACTAATTTACAAATAATTAACATCTTATCAAAGCAAGTTTTCTCTTCACATTAAGCTTATGGAACAGAGTTGAATGTTCAGATATAAGCCAAAGCCACACTGAAAGACAGATCAGTGAGTACAGCCGATGATCTAAAAAAAGGCGTGTGATTTACACACACTTAAACTGCTTAAGAGATCTGAATCAAGATAAAGAAAATAGAATACAATCAGGGATTCACTTCAAAACTATTTACAGTACTGCTCCAAGCCAAACAGTAATGGGGACACTCCTCTATATTACTTATGCTGTCCAAACGAAGCAAAACTTGAAATCCCAGAGCAATATTGCTTGTCACACATCACAACCTATAATCTCTTTTGCTTTCAACAACGGTGTGTCGAAGCAGTATAAAAAGGTTTGCTCAGTAACTCAGCTATAGGCATTCTTCTTGCGACTCACAGCAAACAGGGTCATTGCTTAAAACAATTCTAAACGGGTAGTATTGAGTTAAATCCAACTGTCTGGGCAGGCTATTCGCTTATCGCAGTGACCATAAGAATTGTCTTTGGAATAATTGCAAGATTAGGTCCTGCCTAATCGGTGGGACCCTGCAGTCTCACCAATTAAAAAAAGCTGTAGGGTATTTGTGATTCAGAGATAATAAATCAGATGCCACTAAGCATAGATTATGCATCTTCCTTTTCCAAACACTGCAGCTGTACACATATGCCCTACCAATAAGCGGCAGATCCAACCACTAATGCATTCTACTTTTATTTGCTTATTTGGAAGCAATTAATGGTAACTACTCCTTGTGTTTGATTGATCTAGAAAAGACACACTTTTTCAGTTGAAAAACTGTTTTGTTTTCTACAAAAATGTATTAGAAGAATGGCATTGTCCCCAATCCCACCCATTTATATTAACAGAAATCACATAGCTCCCAAAGACCAGGTCATTGATACGCTATGAGATTACACATTGGAAGCAGTACTGAAGGCAAGCTGCTTCTTTACCAACCCAAATTATTCTTTTCCATCATACAGCTGTTCTGAAACAAAACACAAGAACTTAAACACAAGTTTATGAATTTTTCCTCTTCACAGTAACGAAGTAGCAGTAAGATCATCAGAAACAAGAAAACAGCTAAAGAGACCTTTTGGATAACAGTGAGTCAGCATGCTTCAAACGGCAATGTTGTTTTAGCAGCAGATCAAATTAAGCAAAGGATGCCATTACTGAGAGGGAAAATTCCTTCTGGCCAGAAAACATTCATACTCATTTTCCAGAGGGAAAAAGGGAGACAGGGGAAGGAGAGGGGGTGAAAGCAGATGGTACAATTTATTCAGTTATCTGTGGTTTCCTAGTCTTGAAACAAGTGCAGTAAATACTACAGCATATGCTGTCACCCAAATAGGACTGTATTAATAGAAACAAGATTTTTTTTTTTCCCCCCTAACATTGTCTGTTAACGAATTTAGTTACTTAGAGGAGCTGTATAATAAAAAATATTTTCCTTGTAATCAAGCACCGGTAAAAAAAGTACAGATGAAACAAAGCACATCAGAACTAGTAACTACATTTTAAAGCCTCACAAAAGGCTACTTCAAATGACTGATTGCCTCAATCACTTAAAAAAAAAAATTCTTAAAAGTGTTCGTTCTGCATACTGGCCTGAAATTTTAGGATTACTTTTTCTGCCCCCTTGTGTGGTTTATTCATAGGTCAACTTACCAAGCAAGCATTTCCAATTATCATCCCCTTATTTATTTACGGCCTTTTAATTATAACAGCAAATCAAGGTTTTTTCAGTAATTATTCTCTGCAAGCTCTTAAAAACTCAGATACTAAAAGTTCACATGTCATTCCACAATATGAAAGAAGTTACAAGGATTACAAGGTCTGCCACAAATGTTGGCTTGTTACAGTTTAACTGAACAAAAAACTAAAGGAGTTAATTGTTCTCACTGCTGTTGGCAATTAACTGAAGCCAAGTGTTGAGCAGTGTCCTAAATCCCATCTCATGACTTAGAACTACAGTCTTTGGTTACAACAAAAGTTATGAGAACAGAGAGAGGAATTTTTAAAAAAAAACAACATTTAAATCTAGGCAAAGAGAAACACTCTGACAAGAACCCCAAAGCCTAAGTTCATTTAAAAAGAAACCATGAAACCACTCAGCAAGCATCATACATGTAACAATTTTAAGAAGTTTTCACTTTGTTTTCTGTAACCCAAAATAAAATTTCTACCAATGGTGAAGCCACTTTGCTACTGGGAACACCAGAAGATGTCAAAAGTACTGTGGAGAACCTGCTGTCCCACACAGGAAGCATATGACAAGAAGCAGCAGTATGTTTCAGTTCCCCAAATACTGATTGCACGTAAACTTATTCCATCTATTCCATTTTATTCCTTTAAAAAGACAGTTTTTGTTCCTCATAACAACAAAGTAATCTGCTCTTTTCAAACATGCTTTGTTTATAAAGCTCAGTGAAAAATATACTTTCAAGAAGTTTGGAGCAAAGCATCCAGTGTTTTATAGACAAGGCTTTTCCCCAAAGAGTTGCAAGTCTCAAGTGAGATAAGGGGAAACAACAGCATTTGGATACAAGAGGCAGCATTAGTTAACATGTTATTTGTGTCCAAGAAAATTTTAATAACTCCCTAAAGTCTGTTTTGTTCACACTTTTATAAGGAAAAGGTTAGAGCTTACTAACCTTCTCATGCTTTTAGCCAATGATTTACGTAGCACAACATTTTTTATACTAGTGATAAAGTTTATTTATTTCCTCCTAAATTTCATGCATCTGGTATTCTTGCAAAGGTCTGATGATAACTGTTCATCTGAGTTAGAGAAAAGCACTGTAGTAAGAGTGGCAGACAAATGAGCCTTACATCAAAACTACAGTTAAATAAACCTTAAAAAGACCAGGTCCAAACTATATAACATGAGCAAAGATGAAGCTAAATTGCTTCTAAGCAGACTGGCTTGTTATCTAATACTGTGCACAGCTGAATTCTATCACAAATTCTCCATCCTAGGGAACCACTATTGCTTGACCTTTGAGAACAGTGAGCAGAACTGAGATCCTGAAGAGACAAACCACTCCAGTGAATAGAACCCCCCTCAAACCCGCCAAGTTCAGCCCTGTAGCCTCCTCCAACCAGCACTGCAAGAAAGGACACGACACTATATACCTGCTGCATGTTCCACACCCTCCTGCTCTGAGAAGATACTACATAAAGAAACACAACAGTCTCACTTAAAACCACCGTGCACAGGAGAGCTAGTGAAGATTGATCCCGTTACCATTTTCAGCTAGTTACCTGTTCAAACTTCGCTCTGTCCATGTTGTTATTGTTCTAAATATGCTACTGAGACTTGCTGAAGTTTGGCTCATTGCTGGCCTGTAATTTAGAGCCTCTCTAGAGGCTCTTAACACTCTTAACAAGTATTGTAAATTCATTAAATTCCTACCATCTCACTACCATTATTGGTTTTAGCACCATCTAGAAATTATTTTGATATCTTAATCTAAGAGTTGAAAGAGCAGGTTTTGGTGGTTTTGTTTGTTTGTTTTTTAAATTTGTTTGCCACACAATCCATAGCTGCATCACAACAGGTCCTCCAAGGAAATATTTCCCTTTAGACTAATTAGAAACTTCACACTGAGTTAAATAATTCTCTTTCACTTCTCCAGCCCAGTATAACGATACTGTAACTAAAGAAGCGAATACAGTGAGAGGGGACAAGTTAAGAAACCCTTAATAAACTCAGACACTTTAAAACTAAAAACTCCTCTGATTACATGCCTTAGAAGAAAGATGGCATCTACCTCTCCTCAGCATGTAGAACAAATACTCTGGAAGCTAAAAAACATTAAGCCAAGTTTGTCTTTTTGTGAAACTACTTAAGTGACAAGGGTATCCTTAAATATACTTCCTGTGACAACATGGAAGCCAGAAAGGACAGAAAAGAAACAGTTCTGATTCATAAAGCAGCAGTATGAAAGTCATTCAGCCTAAAACAAAATCCATATTTAATATTAAGGATATAAAACGATGCTGCATTTTGAAGTTTCTTTTCAAAGCAACACTGTATTCTTGTTTTCTGAGTTATTACAACTGTATTTTCTGAATCACTGTTTTCAGAAAACGGCAACTTCTCTTGAAAAGAGCCAAGTCTGTTTTCTGCTGTGGTACAGAATCAGATCTGTCTTGAGGAGATATGTGTTGCTCCCTGTAGTCCATGACAGAGTATCAGATAGAAGTCTGCATCTCTGTTGCACACAAATTTTAGTTTAGTTCAGCAATTATTTCCCAAGGAAAGACACAATCATATGTCCGTATCTGCAGAATTATATTTATACCAAGCCTGATGCTACTACTATTGAAGATAGAGACCACTTGGTATCTCCTCAGAACGAGCTCTTAAGTGTACCTTCCTCCGAGTAAAACACCCACAAGACAAACAGATCAAAATTCTGTTTGCCACAGGTACGAAGGCAAGAACCTGGCAAAACCAGAAAAGGAAGCATGTATTTTACCTCTGTGATCAACAGAAGGTTTGAAGGCTTGAAGGATTTTCGGCACTGCTATTCCCATGTCAAGCTCAGTTAGAGCTAGCTCATTCATGAAGTACGGCAGCTACAAGAAGAGAACGCAAAAAGCAAATCCATGTTATGGAACTAAACATCACTGTTTCCTGAGAGAAGAAAGTTCATTAAACGTAAGGAATGGATTGAGCTGAAAAGCCACCTGTGAAAGAACACAAATATGATGATACAAACTTCTTCCAATTCTAGGATTTTGCA